TTCAGGAGGACGCGGTGGGGCCGAGGAGCCCGCCGTGATGCTCGCCCACCATGCTCTCATGACCCAACTATTCTCTGAGAACTGGTGGCTGACTTTGTGTCGTCTGAAAGGGTCTCGGGCCTGTTGAATAAAATATGACGCTCAAGCCAAAGCAGCCATAATACAGAAAAAAAAAAATTACTGGCAATCCCCAACAAACAAAAGTGTCTCTGTCCTGCGGCAACAGCGCTGTGAGGAAAGCCACTGTCCTCTGTCCTTTTGGAGTTGGAGAGGATCGGGGGCGGAGGACGGGCAGTCAGGCAAGCGTTTGGGATTCCAGCAGGGGCACAACTGGTGGAGACAGATACTGAGCGTCTGCTCTCCAGATGAAAAGCATATGAATTTTAATGCACTGCATTGTTCCATATGTGGGAGACGGACTGAGAGGACCCTTGAGGCAGCATGAGAATGTGAGAAGGGCACAGAAACTCTGCTGTGTGTGTGTGTGTTGCATAAGACTGCAGATCACTGACAGGCTATTGGTTTTTAAAATGTCCCTCAGTGAAACTTAACGTACTGGAGGGAGATGATGTGGTTTTAAATCTCAGCAGTCATGTGTGAGGATGAGCGGCAGAGATCCGTGGACGACAGTTATATTAGATTTATACTCAACCTGGCAGCTGCACACATGTTCCACTGACAGCTGAACATCTGTATCTGGGTATTTAACATGAGTGGAAAGTAATTAATCGCGTTCACCCGAGCACGGTTTCTGTTTTTCTTGCTTTATACTTCAATACCTGTAGTTTTTACTCCACTAGATTAATCTGAGAGCTGAAGTTAGTTTCATTTACATAAGCAAACATGTGAGAGTAGCTCATAAAACCCAGTGCATTCTTTAATATCAAACCTTATTAACGTCTCTGGAGTGTGAGTTTCCAAATATTTCCACTCTCTCATGGTTTCTGTTCACAGTCCAAACAGGTAAAACCATCACATTTTTTTCATTCTTATTTACAATGCCACCTCTTAGAGGAAATTCTTTAAGATATTTGTCATCATCTCACCAGTAAACAAACCTGACTAAGACTGCATGACCGATAAGTATGACGAGGAAAGAAAGAGAAAAAATGCAGGGCTTTCCAGGCACTTGGAAAGCAACAGGAGAGTAAACATTGCTGTGACCTTGTGGACCAGAGCTCCTGATTGTATTAATGAAAGCCACTTCTCCCTCTTTGTCCTGTTTTCTGTGTTAAATAAGCTTCACTCTCAAGTCGGCTTCGCGGCAGCTTTACAAAGCACCAGCATGCCCGACTGCAATGCGTTCATTTTACAAGCAGTAAAACCAGTTTGACCTTCCACCAGCACGTTCTCACCCTGACTGAAGAGTTGTATTTCCTTTTGTTATGTGTGGATATGAACACTGTCTAAATCTACAACAACAGAAAAGATGAGCTCATCGACTGCTGTGTTAAAACAAAGCATGCTCATGATCAGTTCTTAACTTTGGTGAAAATGTGTTTTAGTTGCGCAGAACTAAAGCGTAGGGTTTAGAAAACGGGATTTTACTTAAGCAGCTTTTGACTTATTCAAATAGTTGTCTTTACTGGCAGTATTTCATTTATCTTTGCCTTCTTCAGATAAAAGGTTTTAATTGACACATAAGATCTTCTCTGTTGTTGCGGCTTAACTCCTCGGCCACATTCTAACTGCACATTTTGTGGTTCATTGACCTGTAAGCCACAGTGGCATCCCTGCTTTGTGTTCTTAGACGGTAGAAATTAAAAGTAGTGACAGCAATTTGATAACAAAGTTGGAGGATCCACAAGATATAAAGAAGAATCAACACTGATGGAGAGACTTTCTTATATGGATCAAGCTTCAAAAACACTGAAGTGTGAAATCAGTGCAGCACAAAGTAACGAAACCTGCCTTGTTCGAGAGCAGCTCAACAGCAGGACGTTTCCATACTTTGTCTTCAAACTAATCTGCTTTTCCGTTTTGATCAGATGTTTTAAAGAGACCAGATGGTACCTGTCACAAACACGCCTTCTGGTGTAAAACATTTTTTTCCTCATAAAAAATGCCAACAGGACAGCGATGGAACCGGTTTGCCCCAGTTACACGCCTCATCCGTCGCACTGTACTCGTCCCTCGTGATGATAACAGCTGTCTCCTTTTCGGTCTCCCTTTCAGCGAGTGACCAACATTGGGTTTACAGTGTCAGCTTACTGCTTTTCCATTGTCAGATTACACCTGGAGAAAGAAGGCACCGGGTGATTGAGGCCTCACCTCCTGAAGTCTGTCCCTACGACAGCTCATGTGTGTTTACTGTCGGGTGTGTGTTTGTTCAGTAACAATGTACTGATCCTACAGGTGGAAGGAATAGCATCAGGGCCACTCGGACACCTGAGGCACCTGCAGCCGCATGTTACAAAACAGTGTTTCCAGTCGTGTCTTGACACAGGAAACAGTTTTTTTTCCCTTATGAAACATTCTCAGCTTTTGTCCTTTGAATGTCAACCTTTCAAACTCCCTTTCTATTTCTGGAAATATCCATATCTGATGTTACACACTGCAAGTCTTTATCAGAGGCTGTAGGCTGCATGGGTGTGTCTTGGTGAGTGAAAGGTTGTGTGAAAACTTCCGTGATTTTGTAGCATTTCCTTTAAACTGAAGCTCTTTTTTAAAGCTGAAACTATATGTTTAAAACAAATAAAAGTACTGAATGAAGATTTATAAAACAAAACATGCCCAATTACGCACATTACGCACGCATTAAAAGAAGCCCATTTTAACGACCTATTATGCGCACATCGTCGTTCTGGAGAAACTCTGGTGTGCCTAACTATCCACTCTCCTTTATTTACAGTTTCAGCTCAGAAAGATGCGCCCAGATGGAAGAAGAGTGACTTTAACCTTAAGGAAAACCGCAGGAGCCTCATTATAACTCTGGCAGGGCGGTGATTGGGGACATGAATAATGTATTACAGTGGGAGGAGACGGTTTCGGGGTTGACTGTGGTTTGTTGCGTGCGTCACGTAGTGAATTGAAGACCAAGGACATGGTCTGAATGGCTGTCTTTAGTCACTGGAGGAAGCTTCCATGCACCGAGCGCCAGGTAATAGCGACTTTTATTTTATTTTATTTTATTTTATTTTTTATCACTCTTTGAAGATAACATTTAGGCTACAAGTTGTTAAATTTGTGTTTTAAATAAGTCTGGAGAGTCTGTTCAGTTCTGTAACCTGCTGTGCTGAGAGGGACTGCTTTGAGAAGTCACATTTTCGACCTGTGCCATTTTGTGCCATAATTGGATTTTACGCAGCGTTTGGAACAAGTGCGTCTGTTTCTATCATTTCAATTAAACATGTTTTGCCATAAAGGGTTGGTTTGAGGCACAAAATGACTAATCTATAAACAGGGTAAAGTTCTGAAAGTTGCTCTACATATATAAAAAGGCACCATTTATAGGACGTTTACAATAAATAACGAGTCTAATCTGCAGATCAGTTGGAAGTAAATCATTTAAAAAACTGCTTACTGTTTAAAATGCTGTTTGACATTTGCGCACTGTCGACTCAGCATCCGGCAGTGGAGTGTTTGTGTTAAAACACCAATGCAACAGGGTAATTCTGTGTGTGTGTGTGTGTGTGTGTGTGTGTGGAGAGAGACCAGCATGCACCGAATATACAGGACAGGATCTGAGGATTCAAATCCATACGGGGCCAACAGCCCACCGAAGCCCAGCCTGCTCAGTTAGTGTCCTAAAGCCTGATCGGTTAATCTCACCAGTCTCAGCCTGTTGGAGGAATGAAGGTATCTGCCACAGGCTATTAACAGCCTGCTGTTACCGGTCTGACGGTGCCACGCTGCATTTTCATTACCTGGATGAATTCATTGGCTTTGCCTCTTGCATGCTTTTTTTTAAAAAATGCTCCTTTCCTTGCGGCTGCAGTGATCACTCAGCTCAGATTGAGAGTCCTGTTGCGCACCAGCGCGCTCACAGGGGGGGAAGGTTCCCATGTGTTCACCACCGCGCTGCTCCCTGTGTGATTATTTACCTCCTCTGATGTGTGCAAACACCCGGTGAACTGTTGTCCTTGGCTGAAACGCAGATCAGTCCCCTCTTGTAACGTCCTCGCGGTCTATCTGTGCGGCAGTTGTTTTTTAAATTTCAAAAAAAGAAGAGCAAAGTCACAGAGAAGGAGACTGGCGTCAGCTATGCAAACTGGGCTCAAATCTCAGCCTGGCGCAAGCAACAAGAGGTGACAGAGCACAGCCGGGTTCCCAGGATTGTTTTGACCCACACCTGACCCACACTTTTTTTTCTTTTCTTTTTCTTTTTTTTTCCTTTTTAACAAGCGTTAATGGGTATTGATCAGATCCGGATTTATTGTGTGGCTGGTAATCCAGGGACCCCTGATGGGATTCTCCAGATGGTCTTGCTTTAACTCCTGAGTTGAGGATTTCGTCCTGATAATGGGAGTTATTTTTACTACAAGTTGACCAGACAGTGTGTAAAATCTTTATTATTCTGCTCTTTATGGTTAGTTTATGGTGAATACATGGACTGAGGTGTGCATCATGTGGCTGTATCACATTTGTTTCAGGTGTTTTTATCAAACTTGGGCATCTTAAATCAATGAAACAGTTAATCCAATTCTGTTATCGCTTTTGTAAGTCCTTACAAACTGTTGCAAGGTGTTCTTCCTTGAACAGCTGCTGCAGCCCCAGGTGTTCTGTCCTGATAGGCAAATCTGCAGATCAGGACAATCTCTTCTCCCCCGCAGGGAGACGCAGTTTGACGTAGATGTATCTCATTAATCAATAGATGACCAAGATTATCCACCGCAAAGCCTACCTCTGCTCTCAGTGTGCTGCTGTAATTTTTGAGATGAGTGGGAGAACATCTGCTCGCTGCCGTACTGTTCCCAAGTGTTTTTGTTTTCCAGTTTTACAGATGGGTCAGTAATCGTGTTTGTCACGTCGCGCTATCATAACATGGAGTCTGGCTGCTGCTGTCAGACTCTTGATTTATGGCCCCTGGCCTCGACAAGTCCCTCAGATCTTCTCCTAACATTTGCTCAACAGGCTTTATATGCTTCCTGCTGTGAGATGAAAGCCATCTCACTAAGGTCAGCGCTGCCGTCTTTCACTGCTCTGACTTGTGGTGGATGACACAAGTCTGCAAAGACCTATTAAACACAGAGAAGCGGAGCCGTGCACACAAATTACACGATGGAATATTGAACATGTCAGTGTTTGATCTACAGGTTTGTGCACATGTTAACAGCAGTGGAGCAACAGGAACATATCGGAGGATCTTTTGTGACAGACCTGTACACAATATCATCATTGTCTCTGTTTCCTGGTGCATTTCTGATCCGGGCTGTGTACAGAGGTTGCATTAGTCTTCTGTTATTGTAACAAAATCAGGCAAACATGAAGATATTTGTTTTTCCACATGTCTCTTACCTGACTCTAGCAGTATGTCATTCCTCGCATTCACATGTGTGAATTAAAATGAGGTTTTGGACGTGTGCTGTACACAAAGATGCCTTGAAAGAGAATTCGGGTTCAGTCGCAGCCCCGTTGAGACGCATCGATCCTGGACTTTTACACCCACATACAGTAACTTGAACACAGATTCTGATTATGTGACTTTACACAGAGGACAGGGAGTGTGTGTGTTTCCTTGTAACTTCTGGGAAAATGCTCAGACAGTAGACAAAGCTGAGAACGTCAGCTGAGGAATAATAAGTACATCACAGAGAAAGATAAGTGTTTGGGAGGCTTGGGAAAGTTGTGAAGGGCTTTTATAGTGTCTGCCAGTTTGCGATGATTAGTTTCGTCTGGGTTTTTCTTGCTCATTTGACTATGCTTTAAAAAAAATCCTCCATGTATGATAAAATGGTTGAGCTCCAGAACCTTCAGCTTTCATGACTTTTGCAAGAGCTTATCACCTATCAGCTCCTTTCTTTTTACACGTCTGATTGTATCTCCCTTTTTCATGCATCAATTCTCTCCTGTCTTCCTCCATCACAACAAGGCATGGCTGGGAAGCCTTTCCGGGCCACGTACATCTGGACCAGCATCATTTCTAACCTCCACACTCGCGTGGAGGTCAAGCGGCGGCGCCACAACCTGAAGTCCTACCATGACTGCTTCCTGGGTTCGGACGCCGTGGACGTGGTATTGGCGCACATCACCCTGAACCGTTTCTTCGGGGACGAGGCGGTGCCCCGCTACAAGGCCGTGCGCCTCTGTCAGGCCCTGATGGACTCAAGGGTATTTGAGCCGGTGGGCATTAAAGTGTTCGGGAAGGAGAAGAAGAGAGCCACATTTGAGGACAGCAGCTGCAGTTTGTACCGGTTCCTGAGTCCGGCCAACAGCTCCTCAGCTGCCCTGGTCAACACCAACTCCCACTCCACCATCACCATCGAGAGCGGCTACGACTCCCCGAGCATGACCAGGAACAAGAACGGCTACAGTCCGTCACGTGAAAGGTACAGGCTCGTGACATGACATCTTCAGATCCCATTTTCTCTGATTTGCTTTGTTCTCCGTCCTCCTGATAGCTAATCCTAAATCCAGTCCGACTTCAGATCGGGTGCCTCTAAGAACTAGTGAGGCGTGAGATGAAACTCTTAAAGTCCCGTCATGCAGTCTTGACGCTGACAGTGTGAATCAGAAAGTATTCGAAGGTGGATGAAACAGACACGGAGGCATTAGGTCCAGAACAGTTTGATGAGAAAATCAACAGCAGTCTTCTGTCTGTGAGGTCAACGTGGAGCTATTTCCAGCAGCCGGTTTAGCTTAGCACAAAGGAAACAGGATGAAACAGTGAAGTTGGCTCTTCAATGAAGGCAACGAAATCCACCTACCAGCACTTGTAAAGGTCATTAATCAACAAGCCATGTGTTGTTTGTAGAAACAGTAAAGTCTGATTTGGGGGGATGTTGAGTCTACGTGCTTGTTGGCTGGTTTCACTTGTTTTTTGTTTTTAAATATATTTTCTAATTACTAGAAGTATATTCTTTTAACAAGCTCTGCTTTCGCGTGTTCATTGCTAGTTGTGTTGGTTCTGGTACTGATGGTTGGTTCTGACATTTGTGGGTCTATGAACCGACTCAGCCCAGTGTGATATTTTTTTTGGTGCGTATTTGTTTTGTAAGATTTTTGATGAGTTAAAACTGTTTTATCTGATAACTACACATGTTTTTCCTACATACAGTTTTGATTTTTAACATTTCTTTTATTCAAGCTAATTTATTATAAGCATTTTATTTTTTTTGATGTTATGATTAAAACAAACATAGAGCCCTGGATTTACTACGCATCCACACCACGCACCCTATGACACACACACACACACACACACACACACACACACACACACACACACACACACATACAGCTATATGATGGACTCTTAAAGTGTGTACAAACTGCCCATTGCACAACTGTATGTTGCACACTGTCATCTTGCACGAGACCCACACCTGGCAGAGACTATATTGTATTTTGTATTTTTGATTTTTGAACTTTTATTCTCATTTTTTGCTTAGTACTATTCTATTTTTCCAGATCTATTCTATTATTCTATTATTCTATATTTCCCCTGTGTTCCCATCTTTGTAAGCTGCTGGAATTGTGAATTTCTCTTGGACATGAATAAAGTGTCTATCTATCTATCTATCTATCTATCTATCTATCTATCTATCTATCTATCTATCTGTCTATCTATCTATCTATCTATCT